TACGAACAAATACAAAAAAATACAGAAGATGTTGAAAATCGTATCAGGCCTAGTGTGCATCAGAGGGGGAATCAACTGACAAGGTTGCAACTATAAAACTGTATTCTTGCTAAGCACACAACATTATAAGTATATAAGTACAAAATAATGTGTATCCATCCTTAAGAAAAAACGTCCAAGCTTTCCTTTTATGAAGACTTCTCAAATGTGACATATTTGGTTGTGCAGTGTGCAAAAGTTATAGAAGACATTATTTTTGTAAAAATATGGCAGTAAGCAATATGCAACCAAAAAATCCCAAACCCAACCCACTGCCATTGAGTTCATACTGACACACAGCAAGAGTAGAACTGCCCTGTGGGTTTCCAAGATTTTAACTCTCTATGGGAGTAGAAAGCTCATCTTTCTCCCAGAGAGTAAGCAACAGGGGTGTAAAACTCATCTACATCACTGTCACGGAACATTTGGGCACCTGAAAGAAGGAATATAACAGCGCAGCCACTCTACCACAGTGGAACAGCCTCCACGATCACTTAGTCAACAGTGACTTAGCAAGGAGTTGAGCTTCGAGATGTAGGAAGTAGAACACAACAGTTAATGCTGTGGGATCTGGCAGACCTGTGTAAATCCTAGGACTTGCCACTTAATTGTTATGTGATTTGAACAAGCTACTCAGAGGCTGAGAGGTCAAGTACATTGAGTTCAGCCTGGTAGAGGTAACCAATAGTAGAATCAAGAAGACCACCCTTCACTGTGCCATAACTGAGGATCTTCTAACATGATTCCTTTACAAGATGCATTCCTATAACTGGCTCCTTAACATTTGCTCCAAAAATGTCTCCTCTGGACTCAAACTACACATCGAGTAGGATCTGGATTAATCTCTTGATCTGTGGGTCAACTAATCAATCCTACCATTATAGTAGGAAAGCAGCTACCACAAAATAAGTGTGTCTACATCCCCATAACAACTTTGTTCACTGAAAAAGGGTAGCAAACTAGATTTGGCATAGGAGCTACAGTTTGTCCTGCCTCAATCCCATTCCCTAGAAACACTTAAAAATTTTTTTCCCCATGACAGACAAGAATATTATCTTCAAATTTACTAAAAGGCCCATCTGGACTGAAACTGCTGGCAGCATAATAATTCTTGATGATTTGCTGAAAATCCTAATGGAGAGCTGAGCATGTGTGGAAGCAGACCCCTTTCCCCAGAACTCCTCAGGAGCCTCTTTTTCAAACACCAAGTGCATGCCCCAGCTTCCACGCACTTGGGGGTCTTAATGGTCAGCAGTCCCTTAAGAGAAGTGACTCTGAAAGAACGAATAACCTTCAAAGTAACTACTTACAATTTTGTTGGTAAGTAGGCAGCCGTGTCATCTTTACTTCTGATAATGTCATTACATTTATCAAGTGTTTGAAAAACAGTGAAAGTATCCCCAATGCTGTAAAGGGCTGCGAGATTCTTAGCTAACAATTTCCGGGTGGGTGGTCCAGGTGAACTACTTATTAATCCAGTTAATTGTTCAACAAGTTTTTTCTGTTTTTCCTTTACATCAGTCTGTTAATTAAAAGAAAAAAAGAAAGAGAGAAAAGAACATCATCGTATTATCTGCTTAACCAGTACTGCACTGGTTAAGCATTTGGCTGCTAACTAAGAAGCTGCCTGTTCAAACTTACCTAGCGGCTCAACAAAAACCTAGAACTCTTCTTCCATAAAAATCACAGCCAACAAAACTTAGTAGAAGTAGTTTTACTTTGTCACGGGGAGTTGCTATGAGGCAGAAAATTGACTCAGGGGCAACCAACAACATCCTTTGGTTTTCACTTAGTCAATATAAAAAAATACCTAACATCTTAGCACAACCATTAACTAAAATTTATTGATTGTATTAGGCACAAAATCATTAAAGAGAATTTTCAAGATAAGAAAGAGTTCCAATAATGAAGGAACCATTCTTTTTCCTAAACATTCTTCAGATCCTTCCAAGGTCAAAAAGTTACCTGCCATAAAAAAGGGGCTACTCTGGATCAGTTGATATCACCTTGTAAAAAGTAGTTCATAAAGTTACAGGTCAGCGAAAGAAAATGAAAGAAGTTCTGAAGTGCCGTGGGCAACAGAAAAACAAAACAAAACCCAAGTCTATCCATAATAAATTCAGTATTCATTCATTTATCCAAGATTCATTGAGCATATAATACATACCATATGCTAATCTAGGCAATGAGATACAACAGCTAACAAAACAAAGCCGCTGCCTTCATGA